GAGGGCTCGGCGCACCCTCCGCCCGGGAATGTCCGCCCAACGACGACGAACCAACTATTACTACCACTACTACTACTACTACTACTACGATTACGACCACGATCACGACCACGACCATCGAAACAACTACTACTACGACGATAACCAACAAGAATCAAATACAACAGCAACAAGAAAAACTACCCCATCGGCGATATTTTATAGCCGATGCAACGACTACGACACCGAGATATCGTAGCTCCTTGATGGGCACTAGTCTAACTAAACCAAGTAGGGTGAGTTTAGTGTGTCCTTCGTAATAGTTCATTTCAACCCCGACACCCTTTTCAGATCGATTACTTTTTATTTTCTATTTTTTATTTACGTCGTTTGATCTGTTGAAATACAGATTGATTGATTTGTTGATTTAATGTTATTAAAAGTATTAATTAATTTTATTATTATTATTATTATTATTATTATTATCTTTTTAATATATAATTACTATAATCTTTTTTTAACACATAAAATGTTTATAGCAAATTTCTAATAAATTTAATAATTCAAATTTGTAAATATACTAAAAAAGAAATGGGTACAAAAATGTTCACAAATAACAAATTATAATCATTTGTTTTTAAATAAAATTAACACATTCGCGGCTGGTATAATTTTTCCTTTTTTTAATACTGAGTACCGGCAAAAATAATCGATTATTTAAATTTATATTTAAATAATATAATATAATAAATATATATAAAATTAAAATATAATTATATTTAAATATTATATTGAAATAATGAAATATAAATTTAATATATAAAATTTATACAAATATATAAAAATTTATTTTTATAAAACTTTGAAAATTTAAAATGACGTGAATCACGTCAGCTTTAGCGAATGTGTTAAATACGATCGTAAAATAAATCAAATAATTTTTATATTAAAATTAAAAAACGTTTGTAATATACTACCAACATATATATAATATAATATATTAAAATTTATATCACTTTTTTTTTTCTTGAATATTTTTCTTTGCATATTTCATTTAATTATCTTGAACATCCTATTAAACGTATTTATACATGTGTATAATATCTTAATGGATAAACCAATGTAAGAAAGAGAATCTTCGAATGAATATACGTGTCATTTACACTGATGAGTAGTACACGAGTTTGTTGATATCTGTTTTCGTAATACTCACGAGAGAAACTCATTCATGAGATAGTAATGAACGAAGCATTCATACATTCGTTCGTTCGTTCATTCATTCATTCACTCGAGTTAGGTTCTTATATACTACTACTACACGATGATATACCATAACTCTAGTGTTCTCTGTTTTCCTAAAATAACTTTCAAATAAACTCGTTGAATAACGAGAATTTATGTCATAAGAGATAACATAACATAACATAATATAACACTGTATAATATACATTTATGTTCATGTATATATGTTCATATATATTTATGTACACATGTATAATATACATTTATGTTCACACAACGTAAATAATACGATCATAAATTTACATTTGTATGGGTCTTCATATTTTCCTACACGATATTTTATTTATATATTTATTTTTAATAAAAGATAAACAAGTCTGTGTGTGTGTGTGTGTGAGTGTTTTTTTTTTTTTAATTCTATGCAAGTTTCAAAATTTTGTTTTTATTGCCATTGGTAAAAATTCATTGATCGTTGAAGAATTAATGAATGAATTATACGTTCGATGTGTAATACATTTTAATTCTGACCTAAAAAAAAAAAAAAAAACAAACACGTGGTTTTATAAATTCATTAATGGAAAATTCTGTTGTGAACTATCATAAATATTATTTTATCAGTTTGATCTATTTATTTGATTGGCAAGAAAATCATTTCGGTTTTCTAGTGTGAAATAAAACTCTATTGTTTTTTATACAAAAAAAAAAAAAATGTACTTTAAATGAAATAACTCAATTTTATTAATTTTCTATACAAAAAAATGAACTTTAGATAAAATAAATAAAAAAAATTCTAACACATTAACAAATAACGTTATCTATTGATACAAACCGAAATTACTTTCTTGCCAATCCAATATATTATACTTCGATAATTATATTTTTATTATTAATATCTATGTGCAATTTTTACAAACAAATTGTTCATATTTTTCTTTAAATTCAAATTAAATTATATAATAATCATGAATATAAAACTACAATTAACATATATATATATATATATATTTCTTTTCTATATTATTCCTTTTAGAAAAAGAAACCAAAAAAATGGCATTTAATTAACAAAATACAAAAATTATTAAGTAATCGAGTATTAGCAATAAATTTTGTACTCGTAAATATTTAAATTGTATTTATACATAAAACCCCATACTTGAAATAAAAATTTGTGTCAAATACGTGACGTACGTGTAATGGAAAGTGGCCACAATTTTGTCCTAAGAAAAAAAGGAAAGAGATAGTTAGATGAATAGAAAGAGAAAGAACGTAAGAAAGAAAGAAAAAAGGAAGAAAAGATAGAAGAAAGAAAAAGGGGGTTGGAGAGATGGCATTCTTAGGGATTTAAGGTTCCCATAAATCCACTTGAAGCATCCCTTGAATCCTCTCGATGGTGTTCGGTCAGTCGGCTTTTACCAGATTGTATTCCTCGATAGTAGTTCTTCCTCCTTCGGCAGGAAGCAACGCTTTTACTTAAGCTTTCGTAAAATTCTACGAGAAAAAAAAAAGGAAAAAAAAAAAGGAAAAAATCGTCGGCCTTTTCACTTGACTCCTCTTTCCACCATGAACGAAGAATATCATCGTCTCTTCTTTACTTTCCCCTTGTTTCCTTTCTTTCTTTTGGCGCCTGCCTTCTTTTATCTTCTTTTTTAGGTGTAAAGCACAGGTGAGTGCAAAAGACAGGAGGCAGGCAGGCAGGCAGGCAGGCCCCTTTTCATCTAATACTTACAAAAGGGAGAATGAGAAAGAGAGAGAGAGAGAGAGAGAGAGAAAATGTTTTATTGGATTCTAAATATTAAATGAAACATCTATTTTTGAACGTTTCAACACCCTATATATTTTTCATCACTGTTTGATTTGTTACTATATTTATTATAATAATATTAAATGTATATATGAAAACACTGGGCGGGATTTGATATTTGCAGCAATGAACTTTCGTATTCTTAGTGCCAATTATTATTAATAATAATAATAATATTATATTTAATTTATTTGATCCCCTTTTTAAAAATATCATTTCTTTTTATTACTATTCAAGTTTCTCTATTTCTTTTGATATTTTCTTTTATTCGTGAAAAAAATAAATTTCTATTTTAATTAACTTTAATTCAATAATTTGTATAATAATCTACAATTACAATTTGATTATTTTAATTATTATTTATAAATAGAAATAAGGGAATTTTTATATTATATTTATATTATTATATACTTTTACCTTATTCCAAGTTAATTTAAAGTTTATAAAATTATTTTTATAATTATTCGTATTATTTACGTATTCGTATAATATCTATGAAAACAGATATATATATAATTAATATCATCAAGCAATGTATTTAAATAATTTGTGTAATAATCTACAATTACAATTTGATTATTTTAATTATTATTAAAAAAAGAATTATATATAAGGGAATTTTTATAATATATTTATATTATTATACACTTTTACCTTATTTCAAATTAATTTAAAATTACTATTATAATTATTTGTATTATTCTATATACCCCTCATTAATTCTAATTCTCAGATCACATATACATCATAATACCTATGAAAACACACATATACATATATATATATATACAATTAATATCGTTAAGCAACGTGTTGTACGCAAAATTGATTATGAGCTTATCTATAGGTGCAATAATTCCCATGAGAGTTAAATCGTGCGAAACACGAATTTTGGTAGACCGGGGGGTCATCCCAATTATCAGAGAGAGAGAGTGAGAAAATGGAGAGAAAATGTTGTCCACTCGGCAACCTTCCTTTCCCTTTTCCTTCTCTATCCCTTTTCCCTTACATTTTCCGTCCTTATTTCTTTCACTTGGTAGAGTAGTTCGTTTCGATTCACGAAAGGGTGCAATCAATGTAGCGTGCAACGCTTCGATTTAAATTCATGAATAATTCCTCCACCTTCATCGAACTTGAAATAGGGGGGGGGTGGATAGAGGGGTAGTTTCAAGATCGACGAGCTTTTTTTCCTCCTCCTCCTTCCCCTCCTTCCCCTCCCCCCTCTTCCTCCTCGTCTTTATTTTATGTATTTTTTTTTTTCCCGTTCTTTTTCTTTTCTTTCTACTTCAATTCGTTTCGATAGTGGTAGGTGGTATCGATCGATGAAACTTTTATCGAGATTTAATCAAGAAAAGATCTAATTATCTGGAAACTTTGAGATAAGAAATCGTAGAAGTGTGTAGTAAGGATGTACTCTTATAAAAAAAAAGAAAAAAAAAATTACTATAGTTTCGTATCTCGTTAGGGAATTGAAAAATCTTTAAAGTGACCACGTAAATGAATTTATTATTATAAATGAATTTATTATTATATAATAGTGTAATAAAAATAATATATTAAATTAAATTATTATTATATAATAGTGTAATATAAATAATATAATAAATGAAATTATTATTATAAATGAATTTCTTATGATATAATAATTTAATAAATAATATAATAAATTAAATTATTATTATAAATAAATTTATTATTATATAATACTGAAATAAATAATATAATAAAGGAAATAATTATTATTATTATTATGTTAACAATTAAATAATTATGGATTTGAGCAATAATTTTTCTGAAAAAAATTCGCAATTACTTAGTGGTTGTTAACTCAATATTTTATTTGTTTAGGTGGTTTGTTGTTGTTGTTGTTGTTTTTTTTTTTTTTATATATATATATATATCTCGTTTGTTTCTTTATCGATAAGATCCAATGGTAATATTAATTATGGCTTTTTGTTTTGTTATTGTTTTTTTTTAGAGGGAGGCTACTCAACGAGATGTTGAACGAGAAAGACGACAACGATTGGAGGCCGAAGCACGGCTACGAGAAGCTACGGCTGAAGCCGAACGTGCGAGATCTAGGGTACATCATTTACAAAGGGAATTGGCTAGGTGAGTTTAATAATTATATCTATTTTTTATAAATTATTTTCTGCACAAGTTTATATATCATACTATGAAATATTTCTATTTTATTTAAAAGAATTCTAGTTTTTTTTTTTTTGTGAAATATCGTAGAACATTTTTATCATTGCTACAATTTCACATTGTTCATTTTTTTCTGATCCAATTTATTCGTAATAATTTAACAAAAAAAAAAACAAAAAATTATTATTTTAATTTAAAATAATGTTATTCATTTAAAAAATAGAAAAAGAAAAAAACAACAACAACAAAAAGATAATAGAAAAATTGTCTACTCTGAAATAAAATAATAATTAAATACAAATACAATTGTTTAAGAACAAATTTTGTATTCTTTCTAAATTTTCATATAAAAAAAATTGCCTATTAAATAATAAAATAATTTCAACGATCAATACAATATAAATGACAATATTAATAATAAATCAAAATCTCAAAGATACAACGAACTATTTTAATTTATGAACTAACGTAGAAATTATTCCAAATAAAAAAAAAAAAAAATTAAAAAATCAAATCAAAAGAAACCTTTCCCTTTGATTAAAAAAATATGTGCAGGTAATGACAGAGATTTTTGTTCTATTTCTTTTTTTTTTTTTGTATTTTTCATTTTCCCTTATCCATTGGTCTTTGGCACGGTTTTATTTTTCTACCCTCGTTTACCTCGATAACGCGTTATGAACGTCGCTTATTTCCTCGCTTATTTCATCGAGAAAAAGTTGATGGTGGTAGTAGTGATCGTGGTGGTGATGGTAGGGGAATGGGATATTTTATATTCGCTGGACCAGACCACGCTGTATAAAAATGCCCCGAAGGAAGGTTATAACGTATAAATAATGAGAAAGATTGGAGAAGGTAGAGATGGGTGGGTGAGGAAGTAGAGAGAAGTGTTTCACGCACCGATAACCAGAGAATTCGATGCTAAATCATTGATATTGGCTTTCGTCCAATGATATATAGGTGCGTATCGTTCGTTCTTTATTCCTTTTTTAACCTGACGACGGATTTACGTTAGAAGTGAGAGAATATCAAAAGAAATTGTCCAGAGAAAAGATCGAAATGTAAAAGAAAAAAAGAAAAAGTGACAAGGAAAATAGATTTATTTTAGAAAAATAAAAAAGAAACTAATAGGATAAGGGCTGAAAAAAAAATATTAAATATATATATATATTAATAATAATAATAATATATATAATTAATAATAGTATTAATAATAATATATAATATATATTAATAATATATCTATATAATATACATATATAAAAAATTATATTAAATAAATTTAAAAAATAATATATATAATTAATTAATTATAAAAAAAAAAAATAAAAAAATTAATAGGATAATGGCAAAAAAATATTATTAAATATATAACCAAAGGTATATTAATTATCTAATTATCTAATAATAAATATCAAAACTACTACATATTTATTTAAAAAAAAATAAAAAAATTAATAGGATAATGGCAACAAAATATTATTAAATATATAACCAAAGATATATTAATTATCTTTAATAACAAATTAATAAAAAGAAAAACTCTCTTCAAGATTGGCCTAATAAATAATAACTATTACAATTTTGTACATATTATATTATTCTATCAAAATGAACAATTATTCATTTATCTATTTAAATAATATGAAAACTATAATAAACAATTGGTTAAACCCATCTAATACCAGATACTACATGATGTTACAAAGTTACATGTATATTAAAAGAATTTCCTTTAAAACCTCGGAGAAAATCAATTTCATAATCGTTTTAGTAGCGCCTAAGTTAAGAGCTAACACAAATATACGAAAGTTTAACGAGAGGAGAGAGAAGCTTTTAAAGCCGATTAGCCCTTCCGATATTTTCAAGTATGTATCTATGTATGTATCTGTGTGTATGCTTACTTACGAAAACTAAACGAAAGTAAAATCGGCTTAACCAAAGGAAGAAATGGAAGAGAAGAAAAAAGAGACGAAGAAGAAGAAAGCCTATTTTAACGATCTTCAAATATAAACTTCCAATTTTTCGTTGTACCTTTCTCGTTCCTTCGTTTATTATGAAGGAATCCGTAGGATTTTTTCTTTTCTCTTTTCAACAAGAAGAAGAAGAAGAAGACAAAAAATTACGCGTATCAAGCCAATTCTATCCGCTTCTTTAATCCCTTTGTTTTTTTTTTTTTCTTTTCTTATTTCACATAATTCAAAGTAGAAAAAGGTGAAGGAATAAAAAAAAAAAAAGAAAAAGCAGGGAAGAAGAATCATCGTTAAGGGAGTGTATTCAATTAGGTTCATTTCACTGAGGATTAAAATTCAACACAACTGTGTGCTTATTCTTAAACGCCTACCTTGATTTTATTCTGTGTATTGTGGTGTTATGTGTTATATTGTTGTTGTTGTTATTATTGTTGTTGTTGTTGTAGGATGGAAGAATCATCGCGTGGATTGTTGCAACACAAGCAAAGGGCCGAACAGTTGAAACAAGAAAAGACCGCGCTCACGCTATCCTACGAGGTAAGAAAAATATCCTAACAGATGCCCAACCATCATTATTTGCAAATTAATGTTCTCAAAAAACTTCTTTTCACATAGAATATTTAAATATATACTAACATTATATTAACAATGAGCAAGAGTATAATTTATATCTAACAAAGATTAATCTATATGGTTATGAATAAACAATTAACCTTGTGTTGAACCTTTTTATCAGTTACTACATACATACATACTTTGATTGTACATTGTACTCTTTACAATTTTTCAATCATTTATATTTCAATATAAACAGGAAATTTTATTTATTGAAATTATTCGAATACCAAATACAAACTTATTGTTTCAATGGGGTAGATGGTAGGGGGTGGGGTGGAAACAAATTAGAAATACGTATGTGCATTCAGTCGATTTGATGTTACAAACACACACACACACACACAGACAGACACATGTGTATATCTCATCAAAGGTATATTTACATATATAACTTTAAACTATATTAATCAGAGATAGCAAGTCAGAGTTTCAACAAAAGGGAAAGTTCATGGAGGCTATACTCTATGGCTCGATAAAGAGGGGGAACCGTAAATACGACGTTTGCTAGCAGCCCTTTATACTTTACGATGTACTATGCTATCTCATTCACGGACGGTTTCCCTCTAAAAGAGTCGTACGAAAGTACGACTGTAGGGGTTCACCATTGTAACCACCACCACCCCTAAAGGAAATATCTTTTATTATCGATCAATGCTAGATCCTAAAATTCCAAAATGTTTTTCGAGTGAAAACTTCTTTAGTAAGGGACTGATTTGAAATAAAGCTAGACGAAGTTAAAAGTTTTATGAGTGGTCAATCAATGCACGAGTGTCTATGAAAAGTTCAGTCAATACTCATTGATCAATTGACGAGTTTCTTCGTAGCTCATTGAAATTTTTGGAAAAATGCACGAATCCTCGATCATTGACTAATTTCTTCGTAAACTCATTGAACATTTTTTTTTGTATATCTTTATACATATATACATATAAAAGTTACATTCAAGCACAAATATGGTAAACATAAAAGACAATGGTATTTCGTCTATGTAGCAAGCAAAAACTCAACGAAATTTCCTAGATAAAAAGAAGTGAAAACAAAAAAACTAGTTCTATTTTCTGTGGACGAAGGAAGATGACAGAAAATCGTTGTTACCCTTCGCTCTCGAAAAGAATACCGAGAAAAGGGCTGGAAGGGTAGCATGATGAAGAATGGGGAGGTTGGGAGTGGGTTGAGAGTGGGGTCGAATACAGAGGGAGAGGATAGACATTAACACAGTGGGATGAGAGAACCGCTGGTTGGTTGGTACGACCGTTATAAATCAGACACACGCACCCTCTATTAGCGTTCCTGTCCCTGGCAGCTCCTAAGCTCTAATTTAACGTTAACCGCCTTTCTGCTAATAACGCGTTGACGCTTTATTAACTCTACCAGCTAATTGCGATAAATGCAATATCAGTAGGTACTTGAAAACACGATTAAAAGAAAGAAAAAGAAAAGAAAGAAAAAGACGAACAAAAATTCCATTTGTTTGAGAATTCATAAACCCCAACAGTCGTCGTTGTTGTTGTTGTATTTGTTTAGGCACGAGTACATCAATATCAGGTCCAGATCTCAAAGTTGCAATTGGAGAACGAGTCGATGCGCGGTCAATTGCGTGGATTGGAAGCTGCCTGTGCTGGCGAGGTGCACGCTGCCTTGGTCGCACGTTTGGCGACCTTGGAAAGCGAACACGCAGCTCTGGCACGTGACGCTGACGCACAACGTCGTCAATACGAGCGGTGCCTAGACGACGTTGCCAACCAGGTGGTCCGTGCCCTTCTATCCCAAAAGGTTCATCGAAAGCTACGCTTATTTTCATTCTCACACTCTATCCTTCTTGCTTAATGCATCTATTACTATAGTTCTTTTTTTTTTCTTTTTTGACGTGAATTAAAGTATTTAATATTCCTTGAATTTGAAAACCAATTCAGCATGTACTAACATAAATGTTGAAGAAGAAATTGTCTTCTAATTAATCTTTAATTGATTTAAATTAATATCACATTAAAGAGAGCAGTGTACTGATACACATATGTCGACATTTTCTTTAGGGTTTCAGGGAAGAGATCGGTGCATTACAAAGGCGTATACGAGAACTCGAAGCTCAAAATCGAGCATTGTCGGGTCTCTTAGCACAAGCAGCGAGTCCTGGTAGTCCCACTGAACTGATACAAAATATAATCGAAGCTGGTCCAGCTGCATTGGTAGCTGCCCTTAGTTTGGATCCATCCTGGGTTCCACTTTCCAGACCACGTTCTCTTAATCTACAAATACCCGTTATGGCAGCTGCAACCAAGTGTCGACGAAACAGACCAACTCTAGGTATTACGTTTGAAAAATGAAAATAATCTGTGACTTTACTTTGACTACATCTGTCTATCGTTATTTCAGGTCAAAAACCTTCAACAGGTTCAGGATCAGCGTCAAATGGTACAACGGGTGCCGCGGAAGAGGAGGGTAGCGAGAGTCCTGAAAGTGGTAACAGGGATGAGGGTTATTCAACAATGTCGAGCGATGTTCAAGGTGAAGGTGCACGTCAAGAACCTTCCTCGCGTGGATTGGAAGATCTCAAAGAGGCAACCGATGAAACCGAGGGCGATGTTTCACCGGATGCACGTTTGATCGCATTAGATGCCGGGGATCCCGATGTTCTCTTTCTACCTCTTAATTTAACTCTTGGAATTAATCCACGACATAGTTATCCACCTAGCAAAGACCTTTTACCCTATCAGCACGTGATGCGCAGCTTCTCGGACAGTCATCTTTGTTTGAAACTCACTGCTACGAGCAATTTCACGCCGTACAAATTACCGAGCCCCATGGGATCCTCCTCCCTTCTTCTTATAGAAGAGGAGGGCTGGGATGCCGAGTACGTACAGCAATGGCTCAGGTTCGTCCATCGAGCTCTACTCCTTAAAAAAAAAAAACCTTTATAATATATACACGTTTGCTGCCACGGGAAAATTACTATGATAAATAAATAATTAACTATTACTCCTTTCTTTGTCTCTCGACACATTATTTCTAATTTATTTCAAACGTTTACGTATTTGAATTGATTCATAAATAAATGTTGTTAAAACCAAAGGTTTATTTATTTATATCAGGATCGATTTTATCACTAATAAATTCACATTTAATATAAATATGTAAAACGACACGCGTCGTATTACAATAGAATTCTTTTATACCGTTTTATTCGTTGCATTTGAAATAGCTACGAAAAATATTGAATAAAAATTGGTAGTAAACGTTATTCAATAATTTCCTTCTTGTCCCTTTTCTCTTTCTCTCTTTCATTTTATTCAAAATAATTATCCCTATAGATTTATTATAATAATAATAATAATAATAATAATAAAGTATTTTTTCTATCGTATCTTCAGATTGGACGATAGCAGAAGCGCTCAACAGCATCGAGATCTACTCGAGTTGGAATATGATAGGGCGGAATTGGAAGACTGGAGTTTTTCTTTGTCGACAGAGGACCTCGTTCAAACAGAATCTACAACAACAACAACAACAACAACGTGGAAAGAATCATCGAATGCTTGTACCGCAATACCTGCACTCCCTGCCATCAAAGAACACAATCCCTTGGAACTCGAGGAGGACGCGAACGAATGCTTGTGGAATGGTGCCAGTTATCTCGCCGATAGAGCAGGGGGTGAATTGGTACAATAATTTATTCATTATATTTTAATTTATTCAGTCATGGAATTTATATTCACACTCTTTATAATATCAAAGACTAAACAAATCAATTTGAAATTTAGTTTTATGTCATTCAAATAATATTCATTGAAACATATTATCACACAAGGGGTGAAATAACCCAAGCGTTAGGTTCTTTCAAGCAATACGTAACGAATACTTCAAATAATTCATTATTATATCTAGTAAAAATTAATTAACTCTCTGTACTTGGCACTGTGATGAAAAATAGTTCATTCAATCTTCAACGATCCAATCCTCAATTCCATGACTAATTTTCAACTTGTATAATATCGTGAAAACAATAAAAATAAAACAGCAAATTATTAAAAATTATTTTTCAAATTGATTATACAGGTCGCTCTATTGATGGACACGAGGACTGCAGGACCTTGGCCTTACGCTTCGAGCCCTGGTGCATCTTGGAGTAGCGAAGAAGGTGCTTTGGAAAATTCGAGTAAAAGATCATCGGCTGCATTATCCGGTTGCAGCGATGATCCCGATTCACCATCGATCGGCACCGATTTCACCAGGGATTTTTATAGATTGGTCAAATTCGAAAGTACCAAAAGTCTCGCGAGTACTTCCTCGAGAAGCGGGAAACCACCTACTGATAGGGAACAAGCCCTTCAAAGTGTACTTTCATTCATAGCCGAACAACAAATGTATTTGGCTGAATTACCGAGTAATTCATCGGAACAAAATGAAATTCAAGGGCAATCAACGACGATGACAACGACGACGATGACGACGACGACGACGACGACAACGACCACCCCCCATACGATCGAAGGTAATTATTGAATCATCAAGGTGATACCGACGAATAAGTTGTTTTATCATCATCTAAAACATCTCCAAAAATACATATTTTTATTTGTCCCTTTCATATGTGCATATAAGTTTCCCGAATATTATAATGTATACGACATATATTTTATTTATTTATTTATAATTAATTGCGATCATTTACGACGTATTATTAGTTTATAAGAAATTCTGTATATGTAAATTATTTAAGTAAGTAATTTTATTTAATCTCATTGTCATATCAAACATGCGTGTTATTATTTGCTAAATCAATAAAAAAGAAACAACAACAAAAAAACATAATTCTCAAATATAACGATTTTATTTTTAATTTATCACAGTTTCATCGTCATCATTTTTAAGAACCTCGTTATTCGAATAATAATGGCACTGGAAATGAAATTCATCAAAAAAAAAAAAAAAAAAAAAAGAAAGAATTTTTCCGAGAGAAAGATGTTTTTTTTTTTTCAGTTCCAATATGAAATATTACGTTTGATAATATTTTCAGAAAATGCTGGAAATAGAAGCGAATGCGCTATCATGGAAGTTGGTGGTTCAATCAAAGAAACTGAAAGATCTCCGTCGTCTCAAGAAAGTAATTCTCATTCAGAAAATATAATTGAAGTGAGCAACAACGAGGATGATGATGATGATGATGATGATGATGATGATGATCCACTTGAACAAATAGCAGTACCACCTTTACAAACTGAAGATAGAATGCTCGGGGTTATAGGGTCTAACAATTTAGGGGCTGTAGGTTATACAACAGTAGCACCCACAGAATTGGTTGCTGTTCCTGAAGAAGACGAGGAAGCTGGAACATCTTCTTCCCCTAACACTGTTGTGAGTAAAAAGAAAAAAAAAAAAAAAAAAAAGAAAGCAAAAAATCTGCATCCTTCAAATCAGCATCCTTCGGAGTATGGAAAATGAATGTTGTTCGTTTCGTTTCGTGCAGGTTAGCCCTGCGAGAGCACCACTATTGGTTGAAGGTAGGGATAGGTCATTGAGCTTCCATGAACGAGCAACGTCCAAGGACGTTATCGACGAATTAAATCGAATGATTAGAAAAGGGGAAGATAGTACGGTCAATCAAGACCCTCAGGTAGCCCTAGAAAAATTGGATCTTGCTTGCTGCTGCCCAACTGGTTGGGTTCACGTTGAACGTGATATCGACTTCACAGATCCTAAGGTATTACATAATAACATTATTTTTTTTTTCTTTTTGTAAAAAGTTTTCTAATTCTACCAACTAAAATATATTAAGGGTGTTACATAAATAATCCTAAGCTTTTAATGAAACAAAATAAAACAAGTATTTTCTATACAGAATGGTTGTCAGATTTTGATAGAAAACATTTAAAATTTATTACGTGATAATTATTATTATAACTTTGTTTTTTTTTTTTTTTTATATATAATAGAAGGTTTGCAAATTCTACGAGCAATTAACTAAAATATAATGGGTGTTACAAAAGTAATTCTAAACTTTTAATAAAACATGTATTTTCTGTATAGAATGCTTGTCATATTTTGATAGAAAACATTTAAAATTTATTACGTGATAATTATTATTATATTATCTGTTTAAAATATTGGAATTGATGTATTTAAATTAGATGAATGTATTTTTATTTTTGTTTGATTTCTCAGGCCAGAGCAAACCTTTTAGACGTGATGTTAGCAAGTAGCGAAAGTTCTTCGGCAACCTCGAGCAGTGGTTCCGCAGGTAGCGATTCCGGGGATGAACCACCGGATTATCGACACTTACACAGGCTACATCGTTACCGACGACAAAAGAAAGGTATCATTTTTTTCTAAAAAAAAAAAAAAAGATTCTTCTACGTTTCCAATATTATTATTATTATTATTATTATTATTATTATTATTGCTTATGGTCTCTCGTTATTAAAACAGTGGTGCGAAAATTTAACGAATCAAAACGTGATTCATTTGATCTTAAAACATTCAAATTTTGATCTAATTGATGATTATTATTATTATTATTTAAAAATTAACAAAAATTATTTGCAATTGGTTATTGCATTGAAATGTTTTGTTACAGAGGATTCTAATTCGAATTTACGATTACCTTTCAAAAATAGAACAAAATTTCAGAATTATTTTATTCTAAACGTAATTCAATTTGTTTCATTAAAAATAATAATAATTGATATATGTTTCTCTAGATTGAATAAATGAAAAATGTTAAATTACAAATATAAATTATTAACGCACCACTGTTCATTAAATTTGAAATAAAAAATAATAAAAAATAAAAAAACAAATTCGTAAATATACCTTCCCTCGCTCGAACGCGAGCACGTGTATCGTTTGTTTATTTAAAAAAAAAAAAAATATATATATATATATTTTTTACTTGGCTTACTCGTTACCGCTCATCTCGTCGTTCTATCGCACCTTCATCAAACATAAAAATATGAGTGTAATCGATCATTTTGAAATATGACAACATCGAATACCTTTTTATCATCTACTCGTATCAACCTCTCACTTTCAAAGCTTATTAACACTGATTCTTGTTGTTTTTTTTTTTTTCTTCATCGTCGAGATCCTCCTCCTCCTCTTCCTTTTTCTCCTCTTCATTGACGGAATTTTTTGGAAGGCTGCGATTTTCTATTTAATTATTGTGCTTAACGATAATATCGATAATTCATTATAAACAATCAAAATCTATCGATGAAACCTTTTCATTTGAAAACAAAATCAAATACTTTAAAATATCTTACGATAAAAATGTGGAACATTTTTTTTTTGATTTTTTTTTAAATGAAATATCATATTTCGTTTTTTTCCAAATAAATGAAAAGGGTCTCATATTGATCACTAACTTATAAAATAAAATAAAAAACATACTAATTTATATATTTAAATAATAATACATCATCCCACCCAATATTTTATATCAACACAAAAATGTGAACTTTACGTTGTTGAGATTGGTTTTTCCTATTTTTTGTCCTGTAAAATACTATTCTTCATTAATACAATTTTATAAATGGTTACATTTTGTTAATAGTATTTTTTTTGTGGATTAATTATATCAAATTTGTGTTGAATTTATTTACTAACTTATTTTGATAAAAAAGACAAAAATGTACCAATGATAAAAACACTATCAATTATGATGTAATCAGTATTAATTATAAAAATGTAGTACACGAAGATAATAGAAAATATATCATCAATATCTATTTAACAAGTATCGATAATCGTTAAACACATCTGTATTTTGTATTATCTAGAAAAAAAAAAAAAAAAAAAAAAAACAATTATTAATTATCAATTTGATTTTTGTTTGAATTGAAACGTGCTCACGCTTCGTATGCTTTCGTATTGCTCTCGCTCAAATGAACATTTTGACAAAAATGTTAACAATTTATATATACATACATATTTACATATACATATATACATTAGAAGATGAGATCGAAACGATTGAATTTAATTACAAAAAGAAAATTATACATATAAATATATAACATTTATTATTTTCACAATCACATTTCGAAGTAACAAAAACTGTGATACCTCTTTTTAAATCAAAAATTTGCCAATGTTAATGTAATATAAAAAAGAAAAATATTATTTCGTTCCACACAAATCCAAAAAAAAAAAAAAGAAATTAAATTACAAAGAGTATTTTATCTACACAAAAAATAAAAAAAAGTTTCTTTATAAAAAATTAAAGCCAAAAAAAAAATGTTAAACCATTCGTTCGATCTCTTCATCTGTATCAAATAAAAAACAAACAAACAAACAAAAAAAGCAGCTTTAACAAATTGTCACTCGACTACTTACACACACACACACACACACACAAATAAATACTTTCATATGTATATGTTATTATTCTTATTATTATTATTATAAATACGGTGTTAGCATACACGAATTTAACACAATCGCTAAAGTAGCTCTTGCTGTACATAGCTTTGTTTTTTTTCCATATTTTCTGTTCAGATGGTAGCTCCTACGCGGTGTGCTTTGATTGTCACAAGAAAAGCTACGTAGTTCGGCTTAGTGACGAACAATTTCTATAAATCAATCGTCTTCTAAATCTCCACTCGGGAAAGGATAATATGTGTCTTATATACATCCGAGAACAACTTTCATTCGAACCAGCTTTACGGAAAAAACTGTATATATATATATATATATATTACAGGAATTGTACGATTAGAAAACAAATGGGGTTGTGGTGTTTGATTTACCTCTCATCATTGGCTCTTATACTAACTGATTTATTATTAACCTTAATATATGACGAGGGTAACGAGAAAGATGCAACGAGAAATTCTTTACGCAATTCCACATTTTTCAAACATCATTTTGTTCTTTCATTTTCCTTTTTTTTCTTTTTTTTTTTTTTTTTGTCTGTTTAACATTTATTTTATACATCATATTATAATAAATATAATTATAGATATTTATTAACACTATGGCGTTTGTAGATCTTAAATATGTTTCTTTTTTTTCGATGCCCCCACCCCCCGGCATAATAGTTTGGAAATTTAGAATTTTTGCAAAATTTAGAAGGTGACGGCAATATGTTATTCAAAAATTTGTCTTATTTAAGTATTGGGTTAATAAACACTATTTTATAGTTATTACGTTCTCCTAAACACCCATGAAATATAATTCAATTGTTATTTTTTGGTTTTTTTTTTTAAGTAGCACCAAAGTGGTACTACCGGACGCCATAGTGTTAAAGAACAATACTAATCTGAATTTAAGTAAATTGTATTTGTTATTACGTACCAAGAATTACCTGAATTATTGATATTACATCAAATTATTATTATTATTATTCAAATGATAATTAAAAGGAAAAACATAAAATGTCATCATAATCATTTGTATTTATTTAAAAATATGTATATTTTGTATAATTATATATATATATCATTTTGTATATAACATAAATATTTCATTTATCATCACTAATTTTGGAATTGCGTCAAGGATCATAAACAAACTTGAATCTAATTTCTCTCTTGCAATATATTATTGGACCAAGATTGAACTTTGTAAAAAAAAAATAAAAAATAAAAAATCGTAAAAAGAGAGAAATTAATTGGAATATAATAATTAATAACAAACAAACAAACAAACAAAAATGGTACACGCGAAAAAGAAGGTTTTGAAAAGCAAAGATAAGAGAGAAACAGAGAGAGAGAGAGAGAGAGAGAGAGAAGGAGTGAAAGAAAGAAAGAAAGAAAAAGAAAGAAAGGATTAAAAAGTGAAACAGAAAAAAAGAAAGGGAAAGAAGAATTTATATGCAAAAGAAACAAAATCAAAAATCAAAAATCTTAAGAAAAGAACAAACAAACAAACAAACAAAGAAACAAACAAATTGATAAAAATAATAATCAAAAAACTATGAAACAAAACAAAACAAAACAAAACAAAAATAGAGTGCTAAGCCGAGCTACTCTGTGTCCGCTATAAAACCGGTATAGGAAAGGGAAAGGGAGAAAGAGAGAGAGTGAGAGAGAGAGAGAAAGAGAGAGAGAGAATGAGAGAGAGTGAGAGGTATGGGGTAAAAAAAAAAAAACTAAAGAGCCAAAAAAAAAAAAATAAAATAAACCAGTTGGAAAGTTATCTTCCGAGGCATGTTGACGACCCGGTGCGCTTGGTTTCTCAGCATCAGCGGCACAGGCACAACGCGTCCTAAGACCATCTACCTGGGGAACCTCAAGGCCGTCCATAATCGACCGTGGCGAGGACTTTTTCGTGAGGTACGGTGAAAAGGAACGCGAGGCAGTTGCGTCATTTGATTTTCTCGACGAGATGGTACCATCATCGTCGGCATGCTCGGCAGACGACGTTGCATCCGAGCAAGACGTTCTTGCTACTTCTGACAACAAATTGGATGTTGTTGTTGTTGCTGTTGCTACTGCTGGTGTTGTTCCTGTTAACGACGATTCGGACAACAAAATTCTTCTAAATTCTACTACGATGACTTTAACAACAACTACAACAACAACTACAACTACAACGACGACGACGACGACGACGATAAATTCTTTCAAAATTGACGAATTAACGAAACAACAACAACAACAAACTCAACTAAATGAACAAACAAAACATTCGCTTTAGAAATGAGATTTACGAATTTTCCACTTTTCTATACGCTTTATGACGCGAGAAAAATACGAGAGAAAGAGGTGGTGGTGGTTGGTGTGCTCCTGTTGGTTTTTTTTTTTCTTTTTTTTTTTTCTTTTTTTCTGTGCATTATTTTATCTCATTTTTCTTCACAAACTTATAACGCACCCCTCAAATATCTCGTGCCTAGTCCAACGAGCTGCTGGGATATACTGAGAAAGAAAGAGAATAAGAGGAATGAAAGGTAAAGAATGATAGGACCAATCTACATATGATTTGTGTGTGTGTGTGTGTGTGTAACAATATGTATGCATGTACGTACGTATGTATGTAATGTATATTCTTTCGAACTGCTTGAGTTGTGTTGTTCATAAGAGCGCTCTTTTGTAAGAGACAACAACAAAAACAACAACAGCAAAAAACATATGTGAGAACACAATAATTGTGTATTTGTTGTGACAAAATAATCCATAAAAAAACTACGATCCTCTTGTAATTGTTTTAAAATATGTTAGAAAGCAGCCGTGTCACAGTCTCTCATCCCCATGTACGAAGAAGATAGAATTATTATTGCTTCCGGATTTATAAAAAGAAAAATTATAAAAGGAGGAATTAATTAATGAATTAATTTAAAAAATACAGAGAAAACAATATATATATATATAGATAGATATATATATATATATATATATATATAT